AAATCATTTCAGGAGTAATGGAAGCAACTGCTTCTACAATCCGCCCTTCTAATTCCTCCCGATCATTTATCGGATTGCGATAAATATATTCTTTTATGTTATGATATTGAAGAAAATATATTTACCATATAAATTGTCTGTGACATTTCATAAGTTGACAACTTCTCATGTGGACAACTTCTCATATTTATTATTTTTAATTTATTATTTTTTTATTTTTTCATGTTTAAATATGACTCAATCAATAACATCAGCATCATTGTACATATAATCACTAAAATTTTTTGAGGTATATCGGCAAAGATGCAAGAGTACCTTTATCACTGTGCAATGTACCGTCCCTGAACGCGTGAACTTTAGACTACCTGATTTGTCTATTATAAATGCTTCCCATTTGAAAAGTATTATAGCCTCGACATTTTTGTATTAGGATTTTCGTCTTACTTTTTGCTCAGAAATACGCTATTAAAATTTCGGTCACGAGTTGCGGTACACCCTGTATATGGCTATGCAAAAAACTAGTTTGCAAATAATGTAAAGATAATCAATACATCTCGATACAGAACAAAAGGTACATAAAAGAACTTCAATGAACGTTTAAATGACAATACAGATGTAATGACGTTTAATTATCAGAATGATAATGAAGAGAATGACGTGCGATATCTAATCTTTGAAGATAACAGATAGACTTCGACCTACTCGAAGATGCTCCGAATATCATGATATTATACAAAGACTACTTTAAAATTCTTCTTGACAAATAATCGCTAAAAAACTGTTTTTATAATTATCTAAAAATCTATGCAAATTTAGAAATTTATATATGTACACTTTTTAAAACTAAAAATAGATAAAAAATACATATACACTTTGTACAAAATAATTTTTACAAATCTCTCTTGCTTTCTTTATCACCTAAAATCCAAGTTTCTAATAAGCAAGATTTAAAAACAAAGAAAGATTTTCATAAATAACAAATTTTATTTTTTAAAGTTAAAGTTATACTTCCATTTAGAGTGCATTTCAAAATACCCAGAAATTTAATTCGTAGAAAACTTATTCTTTCAATTTTTATAAATTGGAAATTATTGTTAATTTCTAACATTTTTACCCGGTAATTTTTAAAAATTTGAACGATATTTTAATTTTAAATAAAGCAAGCTATGGCAATCGAAAATAGAAATCTATTTTCTAGTACTTGTTGCCAAGATTAAAGTTAAAAATAACGAGTTTACATCCCTAACAATCAAATTTACTAAATTTTGATTTGGCTCACGTACTTAAGACTCGCCGACTACTCCAATAGATATTATTTAAGTATATTAACTTTAACTTCATTGAAACCACTTAAAATTTCACAAGAAGCATGCATTATACTATAATTATAAAAAATATAATTACTAATTATGTTATAATATTTATTGTTATAATGTATTATTATTATATTGTAGATATTGTAGCTATCTAATATTTTTATGCAATTTTTTGACAATTTTTTTAAAGACTTTTATAAAACATTAAGTAGCAGCAAAAAATACAGTATACATATAGTAAAGATTGTGAATGCAATATGTATTACATCTTTGTGTGTGTGTGTATGTATGCGCGCGCGCGCGTGTGCGTATGTGTGAATCAATGCTATTCAATAACTAAAGAAAGATTAACTAACAATAAGTCGGTGAAGAACTGATTGTGAGTAATTCTTGCTTGGTTATTGAAACACCGACCGTGCATGCGATAATTTATTCATTACTTGATGCGTGCATGCAATAATTTATTCATTACTGGTTTGTTTGTGCCAAGATGACTATTAAATTCACGATAAATGACTCATTATTAACAGAAAAAGTAACAAAATAATATTGTAAAAATAAAAATATTGTATATTTCACATAATATAAAAATATTGTAAATTTTTATTTATTTATATGTTTTGTAATAGATTTACCATATATTGTTTATTCCAAATAAAAACTATACTTCTTAATAACAAATAAACGGTTAAAAGTTGTGAATAAGTGTCTCTTTTTCTATATAAGCATTTATTAATCATTTTTTATAATGTTTATCATTAAAAAATTTCAAATGGGCTTCAGTTTTTTTTCATGAAAAAGGGATTTCTGATATTTTTAGATTAGAAGTTGTAGCTTGTGTAAAACAAATACCTAAGTGTTTTTGTCACAATCTTTTGTTTAAATCGCAAATATCTTAAAAGTCGTGCAATTCTTTATACCCGTACGTGTTAATTCAAATAAACACTTAAATTGGGGACATTCTGCAGAAATCATTTAAAATGAATATAAATGTATAATAAACATGAAAAAGGAGGGTCAGTTATAGCAAAATTCATCTCTTTCGTACATGACTTGAGATCGCGTGACTTTCCATTACAGCATAATTTCAGTTGCTTTCAAAATCACATTTCTGTGGTGCGCCAGTTCAATAATTACGCGATTTCTCAAGAATTCAATTTTCTGCATTATGAATTGCAGAAATAATTATATTACGAATGAACAACAACAGAGCAATAATAATCACGAGCAATAGTAGGTGAAAATCAAATTGTAAAGTATATACAAGTATAATATTTAGAGTATATTTATAGCGAACATTTCGGCCGGTCACCGAGCCTTCATCAGTGCAGAAAATTAAATTACATCAATATAAGTTATAATTACAATATAAAATCCATGGTCAGTAGGTATAAGCCATATATAAATTAATATAATTAATGAGTTATTGTAAAAAACTTAAGCTAAGGACTTATGTTTTTCTAAAATTATAAAAATTATTAAATTATAAAAATTAAATTTAAAAAATTATTAAATTATAAAAATTAAATTTTAAAAATTATAAAATTATAAAATTATATTACGTAATTATCCAAAGACCCAGAGATCATATTCTCTCGACATTACATTTACTCAAGAAGAAAGAGAAAAGATCCTCATGTAATTAGGAATGTTATTGTAAAATCGTAATAAATATTTATTGTCAAAATATTTTATATATTATTTTGTTTCGTCGAAAAATTACAATGATCGTTTATATGAACTACGTAATGTAATGTGTCAATTTATATAAATGACTTCGCAAACATAAAATAGTTTTCATCTTCTTTTCATAATTTGTCTTAAAGAAAATTAGGTAAAATAAAAATCCATATTTGATGAAAATTTCTGTTCTTCACGTTGCGCATTATTTATGTACGGTCATTTTCTACCTACAAGCTACTTTCTTCGAAAGTGAGAGTAATACTGGTCGAATATAGCCGGCGAAGTATGAAATCTTCGCAGAAAGTACGTTCTGCCACGCAAAATCTTACAAAGAGCAATGTATCCAACATTTAATTTCTTTGAAAAAAGATTTTATATACACATGCACAATTTTATGTCATATTTCATGTACTTGACTACATCAAACTAAGTAGATTCGCTATTCAACTGTCATAAAATTATTATTTAAATAAAATACCATGTTTGAATATATTAATACATAGAATTAGCATTAATATTTTTTTACAATACATTCATATTTCAAGGTTCTATCGCCACAATTCAGAAATACTTTTATATCAAAGTTATAATAGAACAGAATATGTTTATAGTTATGTAAGAAATAATATAAATGCATAAAATTTTGAAGCTTAAGTTTGGAAAATATTAATTACAACATGTACATTTACAACAGCATACCATTTATTCTTAAATTATTTCGTTAGTCATACATATACATATATTGTACATACATATATGCGCGCGCCCACGTGATGAATAAATCTCGGGTCTGACGCATATTATTACATCGCTACAGTATTCGAAAAAGGTCGAGACCTCGAAATATCTCAGAAAATATAAATTTTATAAATGATCTAGCCAATAAAGACATGTTGCCCCATATGCTGTAGCACGTTCACAATCCTAGGTTCATTTGCAAAAAAATGATTCTTATGATGCCCTCGACAATCTCTGAAAATTTGTCTGAAAAATAAATACTCTGCATATGTAGTAACTACATCAAGATAGTACCATATTATTTACGAACATAATTATATGGGAAAAACACGAACAAAGTAGTAACAAAAGTAACTTGCTTAAATCCTTATTGCTGAATCTATCAATTGTGTATTTAGCAATCTAACTTGTAAACGTTTTTGTTTTTTTTTCTGCAAATATGAAATACGAAAAAAAAGATGTCGTATCAACAAGATCAGTGTAATTGAAATAAAATCGTTGAAACAACATTAGTATTAATAAATGAAAAACATCAGATTGCGAAAAATAACTGACCTCAAAACATGGTGTTCCTCCGTAATAGGGGGAAATGGGATCGGGGGGAGGGCAGGGGAAAGGGAAAATTAAAAAAATCGCGTATCGACAGTTCAGTGTATGGTCGACAACCCGTATCGACGCACTGTTCTGAAAAGTCGAAATAGACGCGTAAACAACATCTTAACTAATATGTGTTATTGCGAATAGTATTATCACAGCCCCAGTGGTCGAGCTGGTAAGACGCCCGTCACGGATTGAGGGAGGTCCCAGGTTTGGATCCTGGTTGGGGTAATATTTTTCGCAATAAGAATTTTAATTGCCAGATACGGTCAATAAAAATCATTGATGTTGTGAATTATTTATGTTTGTGGCAACCCGTGACATTAACATTTAATTCACACAACTTTATTTTGCTTAATTCAATAGCAATTTTTTTCTGTGTGCGTATAACCAGTTCGTATATGTATATGCACAAACATGATTCTAACATTAGCGCGTGTTGCATACCATTTTGTTTCACAGCATAACTAATACAGGACATCGCAAAATTATCATTAATTATTTAAAATAAATCTGTTAATTATTTTCGAAACACAACGAAGTCGTGTGTGCAAAGGGTAAACATTTTCTTTATTTTATGTGTGCAATATGGCCATGTGTTCAACGTGTTTGTGTGCAATGCGTCTGTTCGCAATAATGTCATGTGTGCAATCTGCATGTGTGCAATAATGTCACGTGCGCAATGTTTTTGTGCGTAATAAGACCATGTGCGTAAACGTACTTTTGTATTACATGTGCACAATACTGCTTGTGGGCAATCGGTTTGTAGGCAATCGGAAATGTCAGCAACTGAAGCTGTCCGCAAAAAGTTGTGGGCAAACGAAGCTGTTGGCAATCGGGAATGTCGGCAAACGGGACCCCACCTATATTTTTTAGTTATTAAATATTATTATTAAATATTATTTAGAAAATTTTCTGGATATTTATGCTGTCTAGGTAGATTCTCCTTAAAAATGTTCTTGACGTTGTTTTGTCACAATAAGTGCATATATCGGCATTTATCAAAGTAAACTTATTATATAAGACATAGACCTTAAGAATGTTGTTGACGTTGTTTTGTCACAATAAGTGCATATATCGACGTTTATCAAAGTAAACTGATTATATAAGACATAGGTGTATTAATTTTACATGTCAAAAAATAGTCGAAATAACATAATAAATTTAAAGCTTTTATTAAAATTCTTATTGTTGGTCAGTAAGTCGGTCCATTAGAATACATTTTTAAATCAATTAGTTTTTATATATTAAAGTTATACAACTAAAAGATTTTCAATTTTGATAATTAAAAATTTTTAATGTGTCTTACAATTAAATTAAACAACTATTAGAGACACTTTCTAAAATTGAGATACCTATAAAAATACCTCGACAAAAAAGTTAATGCCACGCAAATCCAATTACAAAGGTCAGTAAAAAAAATAATTCTAAGTAAATCTATTTAAAAACATGAGCACTTTTTTAATTACTTCTGGCGACCTTTAAGAATCTTCCAATTTAAATCTATTTACTTAGTTTAAAAAAATATTTTGTCAGTGTACGCACACATCTAAATAGATGTTTAATTTACAAATAACGAAAGTAATATAAATTAATATAAATAAACAAAATCAATGATTATTATTATTATTACTAATTTCTTATGTCGAGACAAAGAAATGTAAAACAATGCAAATTATTTAATTAAGCGTGTAATTGACACAATTAGCACATATGCATTATTAATGACATTTTACTAACAATAAGCAAAACATTAAACACACAAGTATATACAATAGCCCTCTGTTTAATAATATTATTCCCCATTTGTTTTTTATCGCGGTGAATTTGTCACTTTTCATTAGCACATTCTTTTATAGTGAACAGTTGCAGTTATAACTATAATTATTCATAACTAAATACAACTACTATACCACATCATTAACAATAATAACCACCTTTTAAAAAAAGGTATATAAAAGATTTATGGTTTTTGTCGCTTTTCTGTAGCGCTAGTTAGGTCTCGCTGTTTATTTCGTATTGTGAAAGTAGCTGTCAGACAGCGTATAACATCGTGAGAACGTATGTTTTAACAAGTGTCGTGCTGCAGATTATTCCATATCACGAATAAATTTGATCAAGATGAAATACGTTAGAAGATACTGAATAACTTTTAAAAAGATAATTTTTTAATTGTAGTATTTTGCGCACAGAATATTATTTAAATTAATTTTTGTATATATGATATGAAGAAAATTCATAATTATAATTTAGGAAAGAGTTGTAATTTCTAATAATAATATGCACCTTTATCTGAAAACAATCATGTGTTTTGCTTATATTAATAGCTTTATCTCATTATTTTAGACATAAAATAATAAACACAGGATGTTTGATAATATAGAAATAACATCGTTCGTAGATAAGTAGAGCGAGTTAAACCAGATTAAAGTGAACAGAAAAGTTCTATATTCTTTTGTGATTTTCTTAATAATTACAGAAAAAAAATTAACAAAGATCTACGAATGAGCATGTATCCGTGTGATTCAGCGGCAAATATAAGCACGCAGCGAAGAAGAGGCAATGTCAAATATTGTGGCATCGCTATGCGCGTTGCAAGACATTGGAAAGAGTGCGTTTTTGCAATAATGCGTAACGCTATCTCTTGACGCTGAATAACACTCATTCACAATTTTTTATTAATTTCAATTTATTAATTAATTGTTGAAACAATTCACAAAACAGTAAAAAAATCTATTCTACCAATGTAACTATTCCGGTCTATCTGCCCACAAGAGATGACATAGCTATACATATACAGGGTCATTGAAAAGTATCGGACCCCCTTAATATTTTCAGTTAGAATGCATTTTGGAGAAAATGTCCAATAGCAAAGTTGCATGGCTTCAAGCGGGGAATAAGATGATGACCGTGACTTTGACCTTGACCACGTTTTTCAAGGTCTTTTCAAGGTCAACTTAAATTTTTTAAATGAAATCCCCTACTTTTTATTGTATATTCTTATAGCTTATCTCGAGAGCTTTCCAAAACACTGTAATAAAACACTTTTCATTGTGTACTTTTTGAGTTATAAAGGTTTGAAGTTAACAATTTTTTGACACAAAATGTAAAATATCTTGTAAAATATTATTTAATTTTCGGTAATCATATTCCGCGTCTCATTATTCCGCGCACATTTATCTGAAAACAATCATGTGTTTTGCTTATATTAATAGCTTTATCTCATTATTTTAGACATAACATAATAAAAACAGGATGTTTGATAATATATAAATAACACCATTCGTTGATAAGTAGAGCGAGTTAAACTAGGTTAAAGTGAACAGAAAAGTTCACTTTAAGTATTAAGTATTATTACACGGTGTCAGGGTCAATGTCAAGGTCATCATCTTACTCCCCGCTTGAAACCATACAATTTTGCTATTGGACATTTTCTCCAAAATGCGTTTTAACTGAAAGTATTAGGGGAGGTCCGATACTTTTTGATGAAATTTTACTTTTGGATTATCCCTCAGAACTCCGTTTCAACTTTCTGCTATTCGTCATTTGGATATTAAATTTCGATATGAAGACTTTTATATGACATACCGCAAAAACATTGTTATGTAAGTACACGTAACGTTTAATATTAAAAAATTCTATAATACACTGATGATGACATGATTATCATATATTAATTGGTTATCAATTATTTTTTAATTGTAATCATAACGGAATATATGTAGTTAATTTTGTGGCTCATATAACAATAATCACGTTATACTTTCGTTGCTCATTTTTGTGTTTGTATATTATCGAAAATTTAATTTACATATTTTAGAAGATTTGTTGCTTAATAATATTATACAAAAGAAATCATACCTTCTGAAAAGTTTTGCAATTTGTCGCTAAAAATTTACAATCTTGTCTCACTTGTGCTGATTCATAAATCGTTTTATTTAAATCGAAACGATCGATTACGTGTCATCAAGCGAATGGGAGAGTTCAACTGATTTAATAACACAAAGCGCTAATAACGAAACGACATCCGAAGACAGTCGTGGAGAGGGCCACGCGCCGGGAACGAAGCTAGTCGCGGGGACATGACGTGGGCTCTCCATCACGGCGTATCGCCGATCGCGCGAGAGTAAGCGGAGTTAGTTGCCAGCTGATGGCTGGGTCGAGCAGTCACGCGTGCGCGCGTTCACGTAACCGCGTGTGCAGAATCGAGACGAGCGCTCTCCCTCGCGAGGTCTAAAGTAGCGTGGACCGCAGCGCGAAACGCAGCCAAGTGGAGTCGAGTCGTAGATGCGTTGTTATCGCCGTCGCCGTCGTAACTTTCGTGGTAGCGCGGGATGCGCGCCATTAGGATTCGCTAATTTGCCCATTTCCGCCCGACGACGAGGACACGTGCACGAGGAATGTCGTCGGTGTTCTCGAAGCTGATCGACGGCGCGTCCGCGCGCTACGGCGTACGGCAGGAGACGATGACGTGCGGCGTCGCCGGCGCGGCCACGGCGCTCTATCTCCTCAAACTCACCTACCCGCACATCCTCGCTCGCCTCAAACAATCCATTCGCAAGAAGAGCAACCAGTGTCACGCCAGGCGCAACGGGAACAATGCCGTATCCCGAGACAATTCCCCCGGTGACAACTCCGTCGGAAGTGGCGGAGGGAAACAAAGATTATCAGTCGGATTGGATCGCGATTTTTTCCGGCAGTTGATGATGTTGCTGAAGATCATGGTACCGGGATGGCGTACTCGGGAGATGGGTCTGTTGGCATGCGCCACGCTGACGTTATTGACGAGAACCTTCCTGTCAGTGTATGTGGCCGAACTGGAGGGCCAGATCGTGAAGAGGATAGTCTTGCGCGATTTACACGGCTTCGGCTTGATGCTCGCGCGATGGTTCGCCATTGCCTTACCCGCCACCTTCGTCAACTCCGCCATCAGATATCTCGAGGGTCGGCTGGCGCTTAGCTTTAGGTACGCTCCTGCTATTCCCAGTGCTTTCTTTCACATGGATGAGTGAATGCCTTCTGTCCTTTTCTCGGGAACAATGAGGATTCCCTCTTTCATACTCGAGGTTCTAACGTACGTGTTGAACCGCGCGCTTGTTAGTTCTGTGTCCGTTCAATTCTTCAACCATTTTTTTTTTCAATCAGTGGTATCATGGAGTTCGTTCAACCTGTACCATACTACACTTGAAACGAACTTAAAAATGGAAAATCGCGAAGAAGGAGAAAATTAAAGCGCAAATAGTGCAACCATACTTGTAATGCAAAAGGAACAAACTCTCTATATCTTACATCTCTTGTACTTCAAAAGAGATATATGCATATTTAGTGGGGGAAATAAATAAAAAAAGAAGGGTCAAGATGTAGGGAATGTAATAGCGAATTCGGTTACTTGCACCACGATGTAAAAATGCACGGTGAAACATTGCGCGTGTAACCAATTTTTGGAGCAAATTGTTCATTGGTTCTTGCTGTATTCAACCGCAATAATTTGCAGTTTGAAGATTGGAGCAAATTTCTGATTGGTCACGAGTGCGCATCCACGAGAATGTTACACCTGGTATTTTTGCGTCATGACTTGCACTAGTGCGCATTAAAGATCCTCAAGGGAGATACGGGGGGCACACACTATTGCATAAGTGCATAAGCAATATGCATAAGGAATTGGTCCATTTCCATATGCATTTGCTTTATGCATATGCTTATTTCCCACGAATCATATGAAAAATGTATCCAAAAGCACAAACATTTTATTAAATGTTTCATTCTATTACCAAAAACATACACATGTTTTATATACAGAGTGACTGACACAAGAGGGCCCTTACGAAAAATGGTGGTAGATTATGTCAAACTAAGAAAAAAAGTCGTGTGCCATTTTACAAAATTCGCAATAGTTATCGAATAATTTATTGAAACGTCTGAGCGAATGAGCGCGTAGAGAGCGGTAGACCGGACTCGGAAGGCATGTCAGATGCATGTCTGTATACCAGATCTCCTAGCAACGGTGAACGAGAAGTGGAGCGATGCGCGACGTAACTCCGCGCCGGAAAAGAATAGTGAGCAATATGTTTACGTCCGGTGTCGCTTACCACTGACGCCCGTTCCTCGCATGCCTTCCGATCCCGGCCTACCGCTTTCCAAGCGCCTTTTCGCTCAAACGTTTCAATAAATTATTCAATAACTGATGTGAATTTTGTGAAATACATGACTTTTCATCTTATTGTTAGTCTGGCCCAATCTCTGTTTCGTAGGGACCCTCTTGCGTCAGACACTCTGTATACAGGGTGAGTCGTAAAGGCTGTCCCAACACCTTTTACCATAAGAGGTGAATTACCGACCGCAACTATAGCCAACTGGGAAAAAATGGATAAAATCTATAAACATTGATAAGAAAGATAATATTATTAAAAGAAAAATAAAGATCCAGCAAACACCAATAGTTATATGATGTCAGTATTATAATTTTCCACTCAATGACACAAAAGTAATATAACATGTATCACGAGACACGGTAGTGTCTCGCGTCAAGTATAGCGTAGCTAGAACGCGCGCGCGAGACCGACCGTGTAGTTTACGCGAGTGCGCGAGTTGATGCCCATTCTACACCTAGGGATGATCCTACTTGTGGCTCATCCGATACTCCCTTCTATACCTAAAGCTAATCCTACTTGCAGCTTATCCGAGGGAGTAGTATAAAGTGTAAAAGATTTACACTTTGGTTGGTTTCCAATCGTACCAAAGTACAACTACAGTGTACCCTTTTACACTTTATACTACTCCCTCGGATAAGCTGCAAGTAGGAT